TCAAAAATTAAAATATCGAAAAATTTTAAATCGAAAAATCTGAAATTTAAAAATCCACATTTTGAAAAATCCCAAAACTAATACATAGTTATTAAAAAATTGATAAATCGATAAAATGGAAAGTTAAAAAATTTAAAAATTCCAAAGTGGAAACGTTAAAAAATTGAGAAATCGAGAAATCGAAAACTGAAAAATCGGAAACTTAGGAAGTGAGGGATCGAAATTCGAAACGTCCACAAACCGAGAAATCACAAAATCGAAACATCGAAATCTCTACAAATCGAGAAAAAGTGAAAAACTGAAACATGTAAAAACCGAAAAACTTTGAAAATTGGCAAGCAAAAACGTCGTAGAACTGAAAAATCGAAAAATTGAAAATTCAAAACCTTAAAAAATCCAAAAATTAAAATATCGTAAAATTGAGTAATCGAAAAACTTTAAATCGAAAAATCTAAAATTTAAAAATCAAAGTATTGAAAAATCCCAAAATTGAATTATTACAAAAATTGACACATCCATCAAACGGAAAAATGAAAAATTAAAAAATCCGAAAACTGAAACGTTGAAAAATTGAGAAATGGAGAAATGGAGAAATCGATGAACTGAAAAATCGGAAACTTAGGAACACCAAAAACTGAACAACTGAAAAATCGAAATAGTGGAGAATACCATTCGATTTTGCAATTCAAAAAATAATTTCTAAAATGTTATATAATTTTGATTTTTTTTTTACAAAATGCTTAGGGTAAAATTCAACACGGATTCATAAACCACGAGTAGAGGAGCATGTTGTAATGACCCAAATATGTCTATTTAATAAAATTTGAATATTACATCCACTATTGTAAAATTTGGAGACAACGTCATACATATAAAATTTGGCAATAATATATCCGATAATTTCGGATATCTCTGTAATAAAAATTCACACAGACGACAGACAGACAGACAGACAGACAGACAGGCGAAAACGGGGACCTATTTTTCTTACTTTAGGAGTCGTGAAATGTCGAGAAAACATGAGATACAATACAAAATTTCGTTCACATTTAAAGTAGGTATTAGTTAAGCTGTGCATTTACCCGGGAAAAAAGCCGCCCCTAATCCCCTTCATTACCCGCAACACCTCATGAATCGAAGACAAACTCGATTAACTTCTTCCTTTTCCAGCTCGATCTCGTGTTATTATCCCAGCCCTGTGCACCGCAAATAACACCCATTACGCATTACGTGTACCTCTAGTTATAAGCATTAACTTGCGTTAAAATAAAGAATCGATTGAAAAGCTGCCCCGAGGCAAGGTTAAATGTTAAACGAATCGAATAATTACTGTTCGCTGAAAATCTCTCAATCATAATGGGAGTTTGATGGCGCTAGATACAAATTACTGCGTTGCGAATAAATCAAGTGAAGAGAGCGCGAAAAAAAGGCCTTTCGAAAGCGCCCCCAGCAAGGTTGGCTTAGATAAAAGATAACAGGAGCGAGATAAGAGCAAGGATTTTCGTCGAGTTGCTCGTTCGGTTCTTTTAATCGATAGGACGATTCACCATGGAAGTTTTAACAAAACACACTTCACGCGTATCATGTCATCAAAATCTCATTTTACAGTCATAAATTAATAATCGGATTGTTAACCGGGCGACCTGAGCACGCGACGTTGCTGCGAAGTTTCATCAATTTTTCAGGGAGGCGGTCAATAATCGTTAGCGTTTAGTTAGCCGGGCAAATTAGCGGAAAGTGGGTGAAGGTGGGTGGGATGGGTGGTGATCTATGGGTTGGTGGGGACGTTCAATTAACCTAAAATAACACGAACCCCGAATTTTCACCAAACTAGATTACTTAGATTAAATCCGGATCTGGAGTAGTTTGTTGATGCGTTCAGAAGATCTAATTGATTTTATATATATCTTTTCTATAGATGATAATATTACATGTACAACACGATGCCATCTCTTCACTTTAGATTAAGATCGCTATTTTATTTTCTCTGCTTTTATTTCACTAGAAACTCCGCCTATTGATAATTGTAAGTGTTGAAAAGAGAATTAATTTTCCGAATTTAATTTTTAGAACTCTTCACAATTCAAAAAAAAAATTGGTCTAAAGAGTTTAGACAGTACTTCCCTCGCTGTCGGAAACTTAACGACTGCATGCCTATTGTGTTTTTTTTTCTCATTACATTTTTGTAGTGGGAATTTAAAAAAAAATTGCGACGACGTCATCAACATTTTTGCAAGGACACGTATATCAGTTGGGATAGATGTAGTGTAATACTAAGAATAAAATTATTATATTCTCAAATTTTCGGGAAAATGAATTGGGTCGTTTTGAATATTGATTTGTAATAATCAATAAAATAACGAAACAATTTACTCACGTATACGGCAACTGAAAATCGTTTATGTATAAACATTCTTAATTTAAGATGACAAGCGTAACAGCATACGTGAGAGTCAAACAGAGAAACTGTAAACAAAACGACCATCGGTTTTATTGCTTCGACTTCCGCTTATTATATAAAACATTGGGTTTTATTTTAATTCTTGACGGTGAAATTCACAATTGGTTGATTATAGACATGTCTATTTCACATTCGCGGAACCAAGTGAGCGCATAAAACAAATGCAGGTCTGTAATGTTAAAGTCGATGTAAATAAGCGTGCTACCCTTATGTTTCAACCGAGTTTTTCCTTTAACAAATTTTGTGTCTACCAAATTGGGTTGGTTGGGGTGTAATACTAATAATAAGTGTTGCCTTTAATTTAATCAATAAAATAAATTGACTTCATTAATTTTTTTGAACCACCTCTTAAGAAAATCTAAAAAATATGAATGGAATGATAAATCACAAGTACAAACTCATCGTATTTTTTGCATTTTAGATAGGATTTATTCAGCAAAATTTAAGGGTGACGTCATCAATTTTTTTAGGAGGGATGAACAAATACATTTTGAACAAAAGTTTACCATGCTTATAATAACTTTAAAATATTCCCAAGATTTCAAAGCATTCGGTTTTGTAATTCCTGATTAAATCGATAAAATAAATTCACGCCTTCATTAATTTTTTTGAGTCACCCTGCATATGCAAATCCAAAAATATAAATGGAATGATAAATCACAAGTACAGACTCATCATATTTTGTACATTTTAGATACGATTTATTCGGCAAACTTTTGAGCTGACGTCATCAGTTTTTTGTAGAAGATAACCAAATATATTTTGACTAAAAATTTATTATGCTCTTTATAACCTTAAAACATCTGCAAGATTTCAAAGCATTCGGTTTTGTAGTTCCTGATTAAATCAATAAAATAAATTTACGCATTCATTAATTTTTTTGAGTCACCCTGTATATGCAAATCGAAAAAATTTGAATGGAATGATAAATCACAAGAAGGGACTCACCATATTTTGTACATTTTAGATAGGATTTTTTCAGCAAAATTTTGTGGTGACGTCATAAATTTTTTAGGGGGGACGACCAAATACGTTTTGATCAAAAATTTACCATGCTTATGATAATTTTAAAATGTCTTCAAGATTTCGAAGCATTCGGTTTTGTAGTTCCTGAGTAAATCAGTAAAATAAATTTACGCTTTCATTTATTTTCTTGAATCACCCTGTATATGCAAATCTAAAAAATATGAATGGAGTGATAGATCACAAGTACAGACTGATCATATTTTGTACATTTTAGATATGATTTATTCGGCAAATTTTCGAGCTGACGTCATCAAGTTTTTGGAGGGGATAAGCAAATATATTTTGACTAAACATTTATTATGCTCTTTATGACCTTAAAACATCTGCAAGATTTCAGAGCATTCGGTTTTGTAGTTCCTGATTAAATCAATAAAATATATTTACGCATTCATTAATTTTTTTGAGTCACCCTGTATATGCAAATCCAAAAAATATTAATGGAGTGATAGTTCACAAGTACAGACTCATCATATTTTGTACATTTTAGATATGATTTATTCCACAAACTTTTGAGCTGACGTCATCAAGTTTTTGGAGGGGATAAGCAAATATTTTTTGACTAAAGATTTATGATGCTCTTTATAGCCTTAAAACATCTGCAACATTTCAAAGCATTCTGGTTAGCAGATTAAAAATTAAATTTCAAAATGTTGTTTTATAATTTTGATTTTTTTTCCAAAAATCTGGACGTTTCGGGTGAAAAGTCGATTCAGAGTTGTAAACTACATGTGTAGGACTATGTTATTTTATACAATTGAAAACCCATTTACTATGTACAATTTTGAAGTGACGTCATCGCATTAGTGGTGGGGATGATTAGACAAATTTTGGTTAGCGTTTTACCATCTACACGATATTCTTAATATAAGTACAAAATTTCACAACAATCGGTCGAGTACTTTCGGAGATTATGTGTCTAATAAAAATCCGGGACGGCAGACGGACAGACGGACAGACGGACGGACAGACGGACGGACAGACGGACAGACAAACGGAAATGGGAGACCTATTTCTTCGTCTTCTAGGGGTCATGAAAGATCGAGAAAACGTAAAAGTAGAGAGTCGGCCGACGGACTCGATTACAATACTTCCTTTGCTTACGCTCGGGAAGTAATAATAAAAAAGACGATGAGGACGTTGTAAAATTAATATAAAGGCGATAAATAAAATTAAAAGCACAGAGAAAAAATAGAAATCACAAAAATAGAGGACGAGACAAACAATGAATAACACGCGGTAAAAAAATAAAACAAAATTAATACTATAAAAACAATAATATCTTAGTCATTAAAATGGATATACTTTACAGGAAACGTCCTATAAAAATAAAAAATCATTTAAAGCTATCTTAAATCCCACGAGATTAAATTAATTAAAAAGCCAAGGTAAAGCTTCATATTTTCTCAGAAGTACTCGTAACTACTAAAAAATTTACGAACACCATAAAAATTATACTAGATATTGCAATCTCTACTTGTTTTTAGTGATATTATGAAATCAAACCGCCACCTACCTGCCCCCCTTGTAGGTAATACCTCACGTTGGCGGCGCTCTTGCTCTCGCCCGTCCTCATCAACTTGAGCCAATTGTGCTGCTCGGAGGAGCCGTCCAGCCAGCCCCGGACTCCGGACCCGGCCACCACCTGGAAAAACGCATTAGTCGTCATTGGTCGTCGGGAAGAAGAAACAGCGGATTCGATAATGGGCCGGAGATTTTCCTTTCATGCCGCAGGATAATGACGAGATTAAGGATCGAGCCATTAGGGGTCGAGGGCGGCTGCTTCCGACAATTAGAGCGCACCCTCGACGACCGCACGCCCTTGTTTCGACCCTTAACATGACCGGAGTTTAATTGCTGACACGCCAGCAGAATTCGGGAAGGAAGGAATACGACGGTAATTAATATTTATTGCGGGAATCGATCCTGCTGGGTGGAGAGAAAAGATTTTTTTTAATAAATTAAGATCGGCGTTTTTGTTTTGGTTGTTGGCAAAGGGTGTTCATGTTGGACAATTATCACATGGTATGGATGAAATCGGTGTGCCTTTAAGATGTTGAAAACAGAACCCAAGCATCAAAATTTTTGTCACACTTTCCCAATATTAACAGCATGTCTGTTTTTTCAGGATTCGAAAACATTTTAAAGCAAACGAAAATTGAAAATATTTGGCTGACAGAAATAATTTGTCATAATTTTGGTTCTGATTATTGCTATCTATGCGTTCATTATTATTTCAAAATAAAAATTAATCATAGCTGTTTATGAAACGTAAAATGGGTTTCCTATGCAGAAATATTCAGGCGTGAACAGATAAAATGAACACCCTGTCTAAGTATGTTTGGCTCATTCCTTAAGTTTAGTAGCTAACGTTTCCGGAATCAATATGACGATGTCAATGGTTTAATTTCCAACGTAAAGAAAGTATATCTTAAAGCTCACTTCCGGGAAGCTTTACCGGATTGTCCATTGGCTCCAGAACCTGTTCTGATAAGATGGGGTTCGGGGATTGAAGCGATATAAAAAATGTTCGTTTATTGCTCCATTTTACCATCTTAAAAAACAAGTATAACTAGATTGGAGACCATTGGGCCGACCTTAACTCAGTCTGTGGATATACTTAGTAGAGAAATTGTATAAAAGATTGGAAGATATCCCGGGGATAGTAGGTGAAATGGCACTTAAAAAACTGCAAAATATATACTTTACAAGAAAATACCGTGTATCAAGGGCTTAAATTTGTCAGCAAAATAAGTAAGTGATATTAACTGTAGTATTTACTAGATATCTAATTAATGTTGTGTTAGCTACATAAGTATTTAGGAATAATTTATTTTTATTAATTAAGTATTTAAGTAAAGTGCTTTTCAGTTGATTTTACATTACACAATGTCAAATATGTAGTTATATTTTTTATTAATTATGTTTGTGTTCTAAGTATGTAGTATATTGATAAACAAAACATTAGAAGTCTTAAAAAAAGAAAATTCTTCACTGTCTTAAATCTTACACACGTGACATGACGTCAACAGAAATTAAAAAACGAAAGCTGCTATACGTTTTTGGGTAGATTTTTAAATAATTAATTAATTAATTTCTTTACTTTGTAAATCAACGTGATCATCAGAAAAATAAATAAACACTTGAATATGAAACAATAATTGCCCATCGAGTTTTGTGATGAAATTTCGTACTCAGTTATATATTTGCATCTCTGGTCACCCACCCCCTCTTCATTCTAATGACTACTGTTACTATTGTTCAGTCTAAACTAACTACGCCCACCCGCCCTTTATTTTCTCAGAGGGTTTGTCATTCGCCAATATCTTTTATCTTAGCAAGTCCTAGTATGTCACTTGCCAAAATTAGTCTTATCTTAGCCTGTACTAGCCCCGCCCACCCACCCTCTCTTTTCTTCAGAGAGTATGTCATTTGCCAAAATCAGTCTTATCTTAGCCGGTATTAGCCCCGCCCACCCACCCTCTGTTTTCTTCAGAGAGTATGTCATCTGCCAAAATTAGTCTTATCTTAGCCAGTACTAGCCCCGCCCACCCACCCTCTCTTTTCTTCAGAGAGTATGTCCTCTGCCAAAATTAGTCTTATCTTAGCCAGTACTAGCCCCGCCCACCCACCCTCTCTTTTCTTCAGAGGGTATGTCATCTGCCAAAATTAGTTTCATCTTAGTGAGTACTAGCCCCCGCCACCCCCCCTTTATTTCCTTAGGTGGGGGTTTCATTGGCCAAAATCAGGCTTATTTTAGCTAACATCAACTCCGCCCACCCGCCCTCTTTTTTTCTTAGAGGGTATTTCATTTGCCAAAGTCAGTCTGATTTTAGCCAACACTAGCTCCGCCCACCCGCCCTCTTTTTTTCTTAGAGGGTATTTCATCTGCCAAAATCAATCTTATTTTAGCCAATACTAGCCCCACCCACCCCCCCTCTTTTTTTATTAGAGGATATTTCATCTGCCAAAATTAGTCTTATTTTAGCCAATACTAGCCCCGCCCATCCGCCCTCTATTTTTTTTTGATTCGCCAAAATCAGTATCATCTTAGCAAGTACTAGCTCCACCCCACCATTGTTTTCTTAAGGAATATGTCATTTACCAAAATCAGTCTTATTTTAGCCAATACTAACCCCGCCCACCCGCCCTCTTTTTTCCTTAGAGGGTATTTCATCTGCAAAAATCAGTCTTATCTTAGCAAATACTAGCCCCGCCCACCCGCCCTTTGTTTTCTTAGAGGGTATTTCATCTGCCAAAATCAGTCTTATTTCAGTCAATGTAGCCCCGCCCTCTATTTTCTTAGAGGGCATATCATTTGCCAAAATCAGTCTTATCTCAACAAGTACTAATTACAAGGCGAAAATGTAGCAAAAGATTTAAAAGTGAAAGTCACTGAAATTTATAATTTTAAATATTCTCCTTCGACCAGGTCACGTCAAGTCAGGTTATGCTGTCCGTATTTGGGTTCAAAATGTCATTAATTTTGAGGTTATGTTAATAAACTTGACCATAACATTATGAAAAATAAGGTTTGCAATAATTAAGCTCCGCCCCCTGGTTTACGAGGAAAAAAATCATCACAATGGAGATAGGGTGGGTGGGTGGTAAAATAATTCGTCGGTTTTTTTAATAAAAGTAGTTTTTTCACAACAAGAAACTTAAAACGTTGTTAAAACGGTAAATTTTTGCAGGGAAATGTCCATTTTGCAATTATGTTCCTCCCCTCGATGTCACAACGAATGAAAAATTTATCACAATTGACATGGGGGCGGGGATAGGTGGAGCTTAATTTTTTACTTCCTTTCTTACTTGATAATTATAGATTTCTTTGATCACAATTTTTTAAGAACACGTTTCAGATGGTAATTTCTTGTAGAAAAATAACAATTTTGCAATTAAGCCCCACCCCCTGGCTCACGATGAATAAAAAAAAAATCATCACAATTGAGATAGGGTGGGTGGGCGGGGCATATATATGTACATATGTATTTTTTTCTTAAGATAAGTATTTTTTTTCACAACAGGACATGTAAAACATTGGTAAAATTGTAAATTTTTTCAGGGAAATATCCATTTTGCAATTATGTTCCGCCCCTCGATGTCACAACGAATGAAAAATTCATCGCAACTGACATCGGGGCGGGGATAGGTGGAGCTTAATTTTTGGCTTCCTTTCTTACTTGATAATTACAGTTTTCTTTGAACATAATTTTTTAAGAACACGTTTCAGATGGTAATTTCTTATATAAGAATAAGAATTTTGCAATTGAGCTCCACCCTCTGTCTCACTATGATTAAAAAAAGAATCATCACAAGTGAGATAGGGTGGGTGGGCGGGGCATATATTTTGTATAATTTTTTCTTAATGTAAGTCGTTTTTTTCACAACAAGAAACGTAAAACGTTGTTAAAATGTTCAATTTTTTCAGGGAACTATGAATTTTGCAATTGTGTTACGCCCCTCGGTGTGACAACGAATGAAAAATTCATCACAATTGAGATCGGGGCGGGGATAGGTGGAGCTTAATTTTTGGCTTCCATTTTTACTTGATAATTATAGCTTTCTTTGAACATAATTTTTAAGAACATGTTTCAGATGATAATTTCTTACAAAAGAATAAGAATTTTGCAATTAAGCTCCGCCCCCTGTCTCATTATGAATAAACAAAAAATCATCACAAGTGAGATAGGGTGGGTGGGCGGAGCATATATTTTGTATCATTTTTTCTTAATGTAAGTAGTTTTTTTCACAACAAGAAACTTAAAATGTTGTTAAAATGGTAAATTTTTGCAGGGAAATATGGGTTTTGCAATTATGCTCCGCCCCTCGATGTCATAACCAATGAAAAATTCATCACAATTGAAATTGGGGTGGGTATAGATGGGGTTTAATTTTTGGCTTCCTTTTTTACTTGATAATTATAACTTTCTTTAAACACAATTTTTAAGGACGTTTCATATGGTAAATTCTTGTAAAAAAATAAGAATTTTGTAATTAAACTCCGCCTCCTGGCTCACGATGAATTAAAAAAACCATCACAATTGAGATAGGGTGGGTGGGCGGGGCATATATTTTGTATCTTTTTTCTTAACATAAGTAATTTTCTCACAACAAGGAACATGAAACGTTAAAATGGTAAATTTTTGCAGGCAAATACGGATGTTGCAATTGTGTTACGCCCCTCGGTGTGACAACGAATGAAAAATTCATCACAATTGCGATAGGGTGGGTGGGCGGGGCATATATTTCGGTTTTTTTTGCTTAATATAAGCAGTTTTTTCAGAACAAGAAACTTAAAACGTTGTTAAAATGGTAAATTTTTCCAGGGAAATATCCATTTTGCAATTATCTTCCGCCCCTCGATGTCACAACGAATGAAAAATTCATCACAATTGACATCGGGGCGGGTATAGGTGGAGCTTAATTTTTGGCTTCCTTTCTTAGTTGATAATAATAGGTTTCTTTGATCACAAATTTTTAACAATTTGTTTCAGATGGTAATTTCTTGTAGAAAAATAAGAATTTTGCAGTTAAGCCCCTCCCCCTGGCTCACGATGAAAAAAAAAATCATCACAATTGAGATAGGGTGGGTGGGCGGGGCATATATTTTGTATCTTTTTTCTTAACATAAGTATTTTTTTT